CATACACACCTTTGACATCGTTAAGCACTGGTGACGAAGGTTGAAGACGGGAGTTCATGGCTATCCCCAGCTGTGTGATCACAGTAGGGGGGCGGGGGGCGGGGGGGGGAGGTAATATCAAAGCATGGCTGTGCCGAGTCTGTTGTGATCACAGTTGTGACGCAGTCACTATAACCAATAGCTTGGAAGAGTTGGTTCTGGGGCTAACCAAAAAAAAAAAAAAGAGTTGGTTTAACTCGGTTAAGGATATGGTCAAAATGCCGGTGATGCCTGAACCCTCGACTACCACCCCACCATCATGATTGCCCCAAACTCCAGAAACTATACAGTATATACCCCCCACCCACCCCCCGCAAACTTGGAAGCCTTAGCCACCATCCATCTCCATACCACGAAAGAGCTGAGTAGCAGCGGATGTATTCAGAGTCAAGATTCTCAAGGAGAGAGCTTGGTGACTGGATCTCCGAAACTGAGTTTAATTATTTAATGTGATAACAATTTGTTGGAGTTCCTAAGCTGCGTCATTCTGGGCTTTGCATCTCTGGACTCCAGTGTGCATTTCGCATAATCTCGCAATGTGTGTGTGTGTGTGTGTGTGTGTGTGTGTGTGTGTGTGTGTGTGTGTGTGTGTGTGCTCAAGGTGTTGAGAACTGAGGCTCAATGCACAGTAACATTCTTTATACAACTGCTTAAGAAAAGAAAAAAAAACAGCAGCACAAAAATGTAAAATCACAGTAAAACGAAGGAGATTGCTCATACTCTCAACATACACGGAAAAAAAAAAAAAAAAAAAAAAAAAAAAAAAAAAAAAAAAAAAAAAAAAAAAAAAAAAAAAAAAAAAAAGGTAAGACAAACATGAAGAGCATGCTAAAAGAAACCATTCATTTTAGTACTTAGAGAACTGCCCCGTGAATCGTCGGCAGAGAGGGAGAAGGGAGAAGGGAGAAGAGGACAGCAAACGAGGGGCTGTGACAGACAGACTGTTTTTCGTCGGAGTTTCCCCAACGTATCAGGAGGAGAGAGAGAGAGAGAGAGAGAGAGAGAGAGAGAGAGAGAGAGAGAGAGAGAGAGAGAGAGAGAGAGAGAGAGAGAGAGAGAGAGAGNAGAGAGAGAGAGAGAGAGAGAGAGAGAGAGAGAGAGAGAGAGAGAGAGAGAGAGAGAGAGAGAGAGAGAGAGAGAGAGAGAGAGAGAAGAGGAAATTGTGTGGCCAGGGATGATGAATGATCTTCAGCGTGACACGGCTTTTGGTTATCTGTTTCTGCAATCATTCATGCTCTTCATGGAAATAAATAAATTTCGGAAGTCATATTTCACATGTATTTGGAATCAACAGATGGACGTAACCCCACTCTCTCCCAAACATACGCAGGAGCTCAGCCTAAGCATCTGTGCTGGTCCCAGTGATCTTCGCCTTGAGCTCGTCAATGAGCTCAGACAACTCCTCGCGGCTTTGCTGGTAGTCAGAAAAAAAACAAAAAACAAAAAACAAAAAAACAAACAAACAAACAAACAACCAAACAAACAAACAAAAAAACGGATTCAGTGATTCACGAAATTGTTTTGTCAATCAGACGCCAAAATCTCATTTAGAATTTAAATTCAATATATGCAGATACCTCGGATACTTACCCCTCCTGATGAGGCTAGAACTGGCTCTAGCCGAAACCGGTCGAGGGAAGCCAGACAGCCATCACCAGGGTTAGCCTGGCTATGGCTTCCTCTTGAGCTTTGTTGCAGATCTTTCGAAGAGATACTCTTGGTGTTGCAGAAGAGTAACTTCTGAGTAATTTCCGAGTTTTCACATATTCTGGCGGGTTGTATTTTTCAGCAACTTGCTTATGTGTCGCGTGCCGCTGATCTCAGTCGACGCTGTGATTAGCCTTCGCTCTTTCCAATCCAATAGTACTAATTACTAAATAACAGAGATGTTTAATAAAATATAAGATAAAATAAAACATGTTATCAGACAAGATTGCCCTATTCGACAAACTACTCGCAAAGTATCGCACACGCTCGAGCAAAAAAGACACCGTTCCAAAGAACTCCATCTTCCGGAACAGTCCCTCAGAACGGGCTCTCGGCATGGACAACGGTCGAAAGAGACATTCTTTTTTCTTTTTTTTTTTCTTTTTTTTTGGGAAAGAGACATTCTGTAAAGACTGAAAAACAACAACGGATTTTCAGCTGACTCATCTAAACCCTGGGTTTGAATTAGGGTTTGACAGGGCAGGGGGGAAGGAGGGGGAGAGGGGGGAGAGGGGGGAGAGGGGGGAGGGATGACAATTTTAGAATTGCATTGCGTTGAAAAGATAGCAGAGAACTTGTTCTCTCTGATCCCCAATCTCCTTTTCGAGCTGTTCATGGACCTTTTGCTCTCCCTATTGTTGCACGACAACCGACGACATGCAACAGTGCACACAGAGAGAGAGAGAGAGAGAGAGAGAGAGAGAGAGAGAGAGAGAGAGAGAGAGAGAGAGAGAGAGAGAGAAGGGGGAGGGGA